CTGTCTGCAGCATGTACATCAAAAGCTTGAAGTTTGCATTTCACACTTTACTCAATGAAACTACTATATGAGTATGGTACTATGACCTCACACATCTAAGGCTTTAACCTTAATATTTGTTGCATATCTGATTGAGATTGCTGCTTGAGCACATGGAACGTAACTACAGAGTTAAGTTTATGACTAAATTTACATACTTCTTTTATCCTCATTTTGTTGTGATTCAGTTTGCTCTAATAATATCATTCACATTGGTATCTTTTTTTCTTCTTGTGCTTCAGATTAAACAATCTGGGAGGAAAAGGACAGACTATTCAATTGGACAAAGTAAGCTTAAATTCTAACCATCTCTTCAGCCTCTAAGTTTATATGTGAATAAAGACATTACAGATTTTTAATTTTAAAACAGATTTCTTGCTATCAGGAAATGTATAGGGAAATTAAATTGATTAAAACATTCTTAATTACTTTCTTACTTTACAAAACAGATCTCAGCTTTCTTGTTTCTTATTTTGGAGACATATGATTTGTTCTTTGAATTTATGTTTATAACCTCTTGGCATCAAATGTACTGTCTATAGGCATCATTCTAATATGATTTAGTTTAGAGTTGAAAGTGTTGGTCAAAAAGTGGATTAGAATTCATTCTATCATTAAGTTTCAGATTTCAATTCTTCTAAAAGAAAATATCAAATTTGAAATTAACATTACATGGGTGTAGGCAATTGGCTATATAGAGAATTGCTAAATGAATCAGAGTATTTGTGCTCACTTTTAAAATGTGAAACTACAAATATGAGAAATGGCTTATAAACATTGCATAGGTCAGCCCCTACTTGCAAGTCTTATCAGATCACCATAATGCCAATAGCATGTGATGACTGAAAAATTGCTTATTCAATATAAGCTCATGTCCTACTTGTTACGATTTAGGTTAAGTAAAATGATAAATTAAAGAGCTAAAACACAAGAATTTACGTGATTCACATAATCGGGCTGATTGTGTTAGTCCACGGCGAACGAGAGAGAGCTATGTATTATTATGTCGGCGTCAGAATTTTCACGTACATAAGATGTGTTTAAATAGGTTTAAGAAAACCTAAACAATGATTAGAGCCGCAGGCCCAAAAACTAAGCCCGTAATTAAAATTTCCCGCATACCCGGTCGGGTATGTGATCCAGAGAGCCTTTCTCCACGCTACCCGGTCTGGTAGCCAGGCGGGTAGCCTTCACTGCCAAGATACCCGGTCGGGTAAAATACCCTACTTGGTCGGGTATCACTTCCAGAGAGTTGCCCGGGTAAAACCATCCTCATACCCGGTCGGGTAATCCAACCTACCCGGTCGGGTATATGCTCCAGTATTAAAAAAAACAAGGCTCCATCTTCAACAATCTCCCACTTGAAGGCTTGTTCAACAGTCATCTGCCATCCAAGAACATGTATCCTCTGTAAAACCCCTGATCTCTCTCGTTCACGCCTTCTCATCAAGTATCTGAAAGGCCAGTTGAAGCCATGCATAACTTTAACTTCTCCTTTGTCATCGCCTTGGTAAGCATGTCTGCTGGATTCTTCGTGCCAAGGATCTTCTTCATATTTATGGTACCGTTTTCAATCAACTCTCGGATGAAATGGTATCGCATCTTGATGTGTTTCGTTCTGCTGTGAAACACTAGATTCTTCGCGAGATGAATAGCACTCTGGTTGTCACAGTATCGACCGCAATCCCCCTGCTTCATGCCCAACTCCGAATGAAAGTTCTTCAACCAAATCAACTCTTTTGCCGCTTCAGAAAGGGCCATATACTCTGCTTCTGTGGTTGAAAGAGCCACACTCTTTTGTAGTCTGGACATCCAACTGATCGCCGTACCTCCAATTGTGAACACATAACTCGTAGTGCTCTTCTCAGAATCATAACAGCCCCCCAAATCAGATAAATATACACATTGTTTATTCGTTGAATTACGTGAATGTCGATCAGATGGAGAAATTCAGCAAAATGAGAGTGATGATGGTTCTATAAAAGCTCCGGATGTCGGTATGGAATTTGATAGCAAAGAAGCGGTGTATGATTTCTACAAGGCATATGGGAAGCGTTTAGGATTTCCCATAAGAACTAGGAGTACCACGAAACACAAAAATGGAGTAGATATAGTTGGAGTGTTACTAGAGTGCTCTCATGCCGGTAGTAGATCTACTAGGTCAAAAAATCAATTGAAGCCTCAACCTTCAATGCAAATGGGATGTGGAGCAAGAATACGAGCACACACAAATTATGCGGTATGTTGGGAAATTTCAAAAATCTGTCTTGAGCATACCCATCCCATGAGTCCAACTAAGGCTCGCCTATTCCGGTGCTATAGGACTTTGACTCCCCAAGCAAAGAGGCAAGTTGCAATCAACGATGTGGCCGGAATACGACTTTATAAAACCTTCAATGCAGCTGTTGTTGAAGCCGGTGGGTATGATCAACTCCCTTTTATTGAAAAAGATTGTAGGAACTACATTGAAAATCTAAGACAACTTAGGTTAGGGAGTGGTGATGCCATGGCACTTCAAGAGTTTTTTTTCTACAATGCAAGCTCAAAGCCCCGGATTTTTCTATGTCCTTGACTTAGATGACGAGTCCCGATTGTGTAATGTGTTTTGGGCCGACAGTCGATGTAGATATGCATACAAAGATTTTGGAGATGTCATAACCTTCGACACAATCTACCTCATGAATCGGTATGACATGCCTTTTGCACCATTTGTGGATGTTAATCACCACGGTCAATCAAGTTTGCTAGGTTGCGGATTAATCTCTAATGAAGATACGCAAACATTCGTATGGCTATTCAAAGCATGGCTTGAGTGTATGGAAGGACGTGCTCCGATGGGCATTATTACGGATCAAGACCGTGCAATGCAAAACGCCATCCAAATTGTTTTTCCAAATACAAGACATTGATGGTGCCTATGGCATATTATGAAAAAGGTACCGGAAAAATGGGAGGCATTACAGAAAAAAAGAAATCTTGGATGCTATTCATGAATCCATTTATGACTCACAATATGTTCCACAATTTGAGCAAAGTTGGAAGGAAATGATACAAAGGTACCCTTTATTTCCTTAAAACTTTGACCCATTCCAGAAGGTTTTTGTCTGTGAAATAAATAAATGTGTTCTTCACAGGCATACAAAATGTACACCACAGACACAATAATGTCTGTGAGCAAACATTATATCTTTACTTCATATATATTTTTAATGTTATTTCAAGTATCCCCTACAAGATCATGAATGGCTTGCAGTGATGTATAATGAAAGACACCGGTGGGTGTCATGCTTCTTAAAGACAACTTTCTGGGAGGATATGTCTACGACTCAACGAAGTGAAAGTATCAATGCTTTTTTCGATGACTTTGTGCATTCCAAAACTAGTCTTAAGGAATTCGTTGAGCAATACGGACGTGCATTACGAAAAAAGGTAGAAAAAGAATTTCAAGCCGATGCAAGTTCGTTTGCAAAAACGATTCCTTGTGTTTCATAATTTGAAATGGAATAACAAGTCCAAGAAATTTACACCCTAGCTAAGTTCAAGGAGTTTCAAGATGAACTTGTAGGTCTTTTGTATTGTGATCTACTACAAAACGAAGGAGATAGAAAATTTCATGTTAAGGAGGTCCGAAAGATAAATGGGTTTCGAAAGACCGTTGACTTCGTTGTTGAATATGGCCCATTAACTACTTTTGGAATATGTAGTTGTCATTTGTTTAAATTTAGGGGTATTGTATGTAAACACTTGATTGTGGTCTTACGTCGGCTTGGATTGGATTTCTTACCCGAGATTTACCTATTGCGAAGATGGAGGAAAGATGTTATAGAGCTTACACAAAGGTGAAAATAAATTACGATGGGTGGATCACAACGGTGGAACAAGAACGGTTTAATAAGTTGTGCAAGACTTTTGAATCACTTGCAAATATGATTGTGGATGATGATGAGAAGTACTCAAGTACCAAAGTGTTCTTATTTGGTTGGAGACTCAATTGTCGACATATACTCCTCCCCAAGTTCCTCGGTCTTCCATATGTGGTAACCTAACATCTATCCCACAACCGAGTAGTCGTGTGCAATGTGAGGTTCCAAAAAACATAGGAGATCCTAAGTGTTTAAAGAGCAAGGGTGCTCCGAGGAAAAACCGTCAAAGGGGACCATTAGAGAATGGGAAGAAGAAATTGGGGGCTAGGAATGACAATGGAAGTGCCCCACAAGCTAGCACTGACCATGGCAATGCACGGGAGGATCAGAATGACATGATGTACTATAGTGGTTTAGATTTAAATCTTAGTTTGATGTAAATGTGCATGCATGTTTGTTCAGACATTTATGTAATACTTCACAAACAAACTTTTTGGTCTTTACAAACACAAGACGTGTTTTTGGGCAAATTTTTGTGTGTTTCAGAAATGTATTTTTTTGTTATGTCTGTTTTTGAAACTACAAAAAATTGAAACATTGCACAGACAAATGCAACACAAATCACTGACAAGTACGACACAAATCACAGACAAAATCGTATTACAGCACAAACACGTTACACAATGGGTTACATATACTACTACTATTTAAACATCTACGAAGTATAAAACAAGTAAAGTTTTTCAAATAAAAGTAATTAAATTACATAAAGTAGTGGAATGTTAGAAAGTTATTTTTAAATTACATAAATTAGTGGAATACTAAATTACATAAAAGTTATTGAATTTAACATTTCTCACTTATCTACTTTTTGATTACTTTTATTTATTAATTTGTTAGAAATATTAAAATTATAAAGTGAGTAATAATTTCTTAATATCGTGATTTAATTTATTCCCCTCATACAAATTTCAACAATTATTTATTTATGGCGAAATGATACCAATTATCTCTAAACGTTGTAGTTATTAATTACATAAACTAGCTATTAATTTTTTTTATTACCACAATACAAATCACAGATAACAACACACAAATCACAGACAAAGTCGTATAACACATACAAGGTTTTTCTTCTTCACAAGCAAATGCATCATCCGTATATATTGTCACAAAAACCAAGAGTGTATGCCACCCATTCTGGTAATCCTTGGGAGTACATTCTAGGACATTGTACAACATTGATAGTGTAACATTGTACAACCTCCTACATTTAACAACCAAATCCATGTAGGCAAACAATGACCAAAATAAAATGTACTCCCTCTGTCCCTAAATAAACTTCCAACTTTCCCTTTTTGGCCAAAATTTATGGTTCATAGCAATTCTTAACACATTTCTCCCTAGTCCCTCCTCTGCACAACTCACCACCACACAATACTCACTATCTTAAACTGTGTGCCAAACCTATTTGGAAGATATAATAGGGATGGAGGGAGTATATAGTAACGTTACATAAATGTTTTACAACCAAACTCATCCTCCAATAATCTTGTCTAACTCGATCGCTTCCTCAAACTCCACAGCCTCATTGTGAATTCACATCTTTTTGCTGCCATGTTCTCATACGCACACTCGGGCAGCAATGGAAACTTCTGCAAGAGTGCTTCGGCAAAGGCCATAACCATGACGGCACAAACACCGGATCTGGACACAAAATAATTAATACAGACATTACATTTACATGCACAGACAAACAATATTTGTGTGCAAACAAAATAATATCCACAGAACATGAATGTACCCGGGTTGATGTTGTGGAACATTGTCCACTGCCTCCACTCTCCAAGGGTGTGAATCTGCTGTGGCGCTAAGAGCGGGGTTGCATTTTATATTTTTAAACAGCAGTGGAAGTCTCATACACAAAAGTCTCACAGATCCAACTAATCTACGCGTCTTCATAGAATCGTATACCCGTACGACCTTATTGAGTAAGTCAATTTCAGACAACACCTAGTGTTTTCCATCACTATGCAACGGCATGAACACCTGTACAAACAATAAAGTAGTTAAAAGATGACTTTAACCTTCACTTCATATATCAACCACATCCATAGCAGAATTAAGATTACTTTAAAAAGGCTTATGTTAAATAGAAGAGATAAGAACAATTAAAAGATAAGTAGTTTCAGCTTGTGTCTTACTACTTCATATTTTATTATTTTGAAGACTAACCTTTTCAAACTGCGTCCAGTCCATTCTGCTAAGCAATCGGTTCCCACTTCATTGTGAATCGTCAACTATATCCTTCTGTAAAAGTTGGTACTACACCAAAAACAAAATTACATACAACAAAAGTTTTGCACAGACATTACTTTATAAGTGCACAGATAAGTAAAGTTCAAAGGCACAGACACAATATAAAGTTTTAATCAATTACCGCGAACAAAGGACTCATGATTTGGTAGGCCTCGGCGTGTATGCATTTGCGAAATAGAAGAACAAGTGCATCCAAATGCTTCAAAATAACAGTTTATCAAAGCCTAAAAAACCCATTCAACTATAATTGTATAAAATGAAATAGTCCTTATATACACTCACCTGGCGACTTAGCCATGCGGTTTCATCAATCAGCTCTCGGAAGAAGGCCCTATTTGTCGGGTAAGATGATAGGATAACAATCTCAAGTACGCACGGTTCAAACTCAGCATCTTCCTCCACCCATGCTTTGAAGGATTCACATTCTTCATCACTTAGTTAAAGTAGAGTTGGGCTTATGGTAACCTCCAACCTTCGGCCTCTTTGAATGGGCTGTAAATGTACTTTGATGGCAACCTCTTTCTCTTTCTCACTTCTTTCATACTAGCTTCTTCGAGGGCCATCATGTCTACACCGGCAGTTACCACATCATCACCAAGGCCATCCCACTCCAAGTTTTCAAATGGAGTGTGGGGTGTTAAAGTAGGGTACTTGTCATCTCCCACCTACGCATAACGATCAAAGTTAGGGAACATATACGCAGACACAAATTTATGTCGGTGAGGACGTGTATACTATGCATGTGCACTTAATGTGTAATGTCTGTGTGAACTGGATAGTGTTTGTGAAAATAAACTTCATGATTACAAATGACAATGTGCACCTCATTTAAGGAGATCAAAATATCTGTGGGAGTGGGACAGTCCTCATACATGTGTTCTTCTTCGGTACCCCCTTCAACTTTGAAATGAAGGAAAACTTATATTATCCAAAAAAAATCATGACGAACAAGATACTTAAAACAGACAATCGGTATCAATGTATCATTCAACAAGTCCTCAATCTCTGACTCAATCATAATCATGTGATGGAAGGCTTTGGATGAAGTGGGGCGGTTTGTTGCACTCACCATCACTGTTACGTCAAACAATATTTTCAAAAACTTCACAAAGACAACAGCTTTGGCCCAATCTGATTCAGCCAGTGGACCTATCCTTCATCATGGTGATTCAACTACATACTCTTTGTCTTCCTCACCTACATATTCATTCTCATCAAAGTAACTCCTCCACCTCACATCCTCCTCTTCAGCCATCCTATTAAATCTCGTTTTCACCAGCAATGCAGTATCCAACATGACGTATGTGGAATTCCATTTTGTTGGAACGTCTAACACACACTTTATTGATGTTTAGGTTTCCATTTAGGTTTTCATTTTATTGATGTTCCAGTGTAGCTGGAGAGCTTCTAACATATCTAACTTCATTTCTAATGTTAGCTATAGATTTGTATAACATATGCAAACCGGACTTAACAATCAGGTTTATAATATGAGCTAAGCACCTCACACGTAGAAACATTCCTCCAAATAATTGTTATGGATCAATATTAGACAACTTCTTTTGAATGTAATCAAATGTTACCTTGTTAGCTGACGCATTATCTATTGTAATAGTCAAGACCCTCTTGATTCCCACTGCAATAAACAACATTCCAGAATCTTACCTATCGTTTGTCCTTGATGGTTAGGAATGAGACAAAAGTTAAGCACTCTCTTATGCATTCTCCAACCATTATCAATGAATGGATCCGTAATAACCATGTAGTTTATGTTCTGAATTGATGTCCATGTATCACTTATCAAACACACACACAATGGTTCCTTAGCTCCTTTTTCTGCCTTTTTTGCATCGTACATCCTTAAAAAAGTTTTTACAATGGTTTTCTTACACAGAATGACAAATTTAGGGATAGCTACTCTGCAAAACCTTTTAAATCCAGGCCTTTCGATGGCATTAAAGGGTAGCTCATCTATCACAATCATCTCAGTAGCAGCAATGACACAATTTTCTTGAGGCCAGTTTAAAACATCTTCATCAGACCCATCAAAGTATAAATGGGTCTAACCCTTACTCAAATATGTCCTCCATCCGTATCCTAGGCAAACTTGCTCAATGAGTTTTCTAAGACTACTAGTTCCATTGTTAGTAGAATGACAAGCAAGGTGGGTAGGGTAATACTTACATTGTGCCCTCTTGGTATTCCCTACGCCAATTTTCTTTCCATCAATCATCTTGATTATGGGATGATCTACCTTGGTGAAGTCCAGCCCGGTCTTAGACCTCTCTTTTGTTAGAGTAACATTTTTTTCCTCTTCCGTCTATTTGCATCAGACTTTGCCTTTTTAGAAGTTTTCACTTCTTTTGATTTTCAATTGATTCTTGAACATTGAAGTTAGCATAGACATGTGAAACCATTGCATTAATAATAAGATAAGTTTGGTAAAGTTTCTAGTGTTGATCCACAACAGAAATCTCATGTCCATATGTCATCGCTTTAACTTTACAGTTTTATTAGAACCGTATGTATTGTAATCTGCACAAGGAAGTGTAAATATACATGAATGAAATTATTGTATATGTTGGCTATGAATTAAATGTTATGCTATGAAAAGAAATGTTATTCTTCAAACACAAGTTCATATTATATAAGTAATATTATGTGGAAGACAAGTTTTATCACTATGTTTCCAAATTTTGGTAAGCTTTTCTTTTAAGAAACCTTTTGATTGACCATCAAATTTAAAGTAGTGCGGCTGGATGGAACTATTTTGTTTTTTAAATAGCAATATTATAGGGTTAAATGGATGACATAGATGAGTGTAAATTAACTATATGCATCCATACTCAATAAACATCAATCCTAACATTAGTAACATAGAGACCGTTGTATTTCGTGACATCTGGGTTAGTTTTATTTATTGGTTGAGCGTATAATACTATAGTTGGTCGCGTGAAAAAGTAGCTTGTAATTTTTTATTTTATTTGAGAGGTAAGAAAGGGTAAGAAAGACAAATATATAGAGAGCTGAGATATGAGAGCTGAGACGAAGAGAGTAGTAAAAGTTTTACCATGCAAGTCAACGCAAGATATCTCTAAGTGACTTGACTTTAAAATAAGGTAGTCTATGTGTGGGGCACTGCGACCCTAACATTGTGTCATGCAAGATTAATTAACAACAGATTCTATAATTGTTAAATTCCAATAGCAAAATGTCTGTTGTATTTCACCACTCTTTTAATAAATCTTAATCGTGTGAATATATATATATTTCCAAAAATTTAAGAAACGTCCTAGATTGTCGCAAAATTAATTTTAGATTTCGAGAATTTGAGTGATATTGTAATGCAGAGTTATGAGCATCTCACATTTGATTCTAGTGTAGCTGATCTAGTTTCAAAAATCACTTTGACATCCTCGTCCAAATTATAAGCCTGTAAGACCAAGATATTCTCAAATCAAGATCTCATCAGTTTGCGGTTAAGTGAGTTTTATTTATTATTTTCAACATAACATGTATCCTTCTTTTAATACTTGGTAATGGAAGTTTTAATACGAGTTTCAAGAAGCCATATTACTTTGGAAACTAGATAAAGGCAGTCCAAAATCTTAAATAGTAGGAAATAGGTATACTTTTCACCCACTTATTTTGATTTCATTTTTATCGAGGTATCAAACTGATTTTAAAAACACAAGAGTCAAACAAAGATGCAGAGCAACTGTGATGAAAATCTAAATGAAATTCTACAAATGGCACTGCATAAATTAAATTAATGTGAAAGGCTCTAATCGAATACAAACCCAAAAAGGACAAAATCATTTGCAATTGTACCGCGAGGAGCTAGAAGTAAAGAAAATGAGGACATTTCAAATAAGATTCATACCTTACCAATGTTATTATACAGAGAAATCGTGGTGCACAAAGCATTCCGTTGTACTCTAGCTCAACCATAATCTTGAAACCAAGCCAAAGCCAATATAATTGGAGGCGCCAAATGATGAAGACACTCATGAAAACTAATAAAGAGCCTTCTTGTAAATTTGAAAGGCCCTGTTTTAGATATCAAATTGAGGCTCCACCTTATAAATAATATAAGGGCAGTTAACATATAGTAAGAAAGAATATATATACGGAGTATGAAATATAAGCTATATTTATTGAATGACAACTCTTTTTCATAGAGTAACCAAATACGGTACTTTAATCAAGTTATTTGTTTGTTTTGGTTTTAGCACAAAGGCATTGAGGAGCAGTAATCAACTAATAAAGGTCAATCTTCTAACTCTGAATTGAAAAAGACTGGTTTAGTCTTCTCAAATTCTGCCCTATTTGCTCATCTAATCACATCTTTCGAATTTTCCTAATACATTGTATATCACTTCTATGCATTTCTCCTTCTGCAATGATTAACATTTCATTTTAAGCAATTGGAAGGTGCTAGGTGGTTTAAAAAATTATCTCCAGAATCAACAAAATGTCAAAATATATATTCCCCAATAGAACATTATTTAGGTCTCAAAATGAATTTCACAGAATCAAATACCTTCGTATATAGTCAAACATTAATACATGATCAATTATTCAAAGGTTCACACGGTTATGAAATTCTACACTAATCAGCGATCTAAGATCTGAATTTTAACAATAAACAATAATCAATTAAATAGATTTAAAAAAATAAAACGGGAAAAGTGCTGAAAGCCCGATGAATGTATAAAGAAGCCGATGAAGAAAATTACAAAAGTACAAACCATATTGAACGGCAGAAAGCCTGAGGCAGGAAGACTGCTGGAACGACTGGATGCTGGGGTGAAATGCTGGGAATCGAACCGAAGAGAGGCAAGCTGAGAGAGTGCGGGGCAAGAGCGAAGAGAAGAGAGATGCGCCGGCCGCCGTGAGACTGTGAGACGACGGAGCGGGCAACTCAGGGAGAGTGTCTAACCCTCGAACGAAGTTTTCCTCTAAAAAATTGAAATAATGACAAGAGTAAGACAATGGGCTTTACACTTGACAAAATTAAACATGATTTACGTATGGACACAAAAGAGATTAAAAAAGCTGTAGAGACCAAAGTGCCCTCAAATATTAAATTTGCATCTCACTCCCGTCTCTTAGCGCATCGCAGATCTCGGCCTCCAAACTCCTCCGCAGGGCAGGTTTTTTCTTCGAAGAAGCTCCAGTCACGAAGCCATCTGCGACAAAGCTTAATGGACGGAACACTGGCGCACCTGCCTCCAGCCTGTGTGTCTAGCCTGCCGCCCCAGTCCTTTATCGTCGACGGCCAGCGACGCCGGCACTCGTAGCGGTAGTTCGAGCTTCGCTTTCCATCTCCGACCTTCATCCATCCGACGACGAGCTTCGGTAGTTGAGACAAATCCGGTACTCGATGACGACTCTGGTGGATGGAGCAAACTTGTCCTCCACCTTGAGCCTGAGCAAATCCGACATTGACCTTGATTTACTCAGATCTGAAATTTCTGGAGGGATTCAAGCTATTTAGGAATGGACGGAGAAGGGAGACTGGTCAGGAATGGGAAGTGGATGGGAAGGGGGCTGTCGGGAACGGGAGGGGGGCTAAGAAGGGGCTGATCGGGAAGGGGAAGGGGGCTATCGGGGGCTGGGAAGGGTCCTGGAGGGGGTTGGGGGCTATTGGTGGCTGGGGGAGGGTACTGGAGGGGGGATGGAGCTGCTGGTGGGTGGGGGAGAGTGTTGGGGTTGTTGGGGGCTAGGGAGGGGGCTGTGGGTGGTGGTGGTCACCTTCGGGCGGTGGCGGCAATCTCCGTCGGAAAATGGCGGCGGTCAATGAGGCTTGGATTGGTCATTGTCGATCGTCGGTTGGTCACTCGTCAAATTGACCATGGTAATTGATCGGGTTGGTTACTAGTCGGGTTGGTCACTGGTCGGGTTGGTCACTGGTCGGGTTGGTCACTAGTCGGATTGGTCACGATCGGATTGGTCATGGTCGAGTTGGTCATGATCGGATTGGTCATTGGGCGGAAGTCACTGTCATGATGGCGGTGGGATAACTGTAACTGGACGACGGGTCGGATAAGTGTAACCCGATCACATGTCGGGTAACTATAACTGGACGACGGGTCGGGCAAGTCTAACTAACGAATCGGGTCATTATAACTGTAACGGATTGTGTAACTGTAATTGAAGAGTCGAGTAACTATAACTGACGGATCGAATAATTATAATTGAGCGGGTGAACGTTGGTAACTGAGTCACTAAATGGTTGGACGTAGGTCACTAGATGGGTAAACGGACATGTAATTGTGATTTTAGTCACTGTATCATTTAGTCATTGGACGAAAGTCACTATGTCAATTGGTCACTGGACGAAAGTCATTATGTCAATTGGTCACTGATCGGGCAGAAGTTGGTCACTAGTCGGGCGGATAACTGTAATTGGCAATTGGGTAACTGAAAGTGAGTAACTATAACTGGTCAATCAGATAACTGTAATTGGTCAATCAGATAACTATAACTGAATGAACGAATATATTTAATTGGCCGGGCAGATAATTGTAACTAGCAGTGGATAACTGTAACTGGTTGTGTGGGTAACTGTAACTGGTCATGCGAGTAACTGTAATTTTTTCAACGTATAATTGTAACTGATTATATTTTTTTTTGTTTTTTGTAACTGATTATGTTAAATAAATGAAAATCGTCGTCGGAAGAATGTAATTAGGAGGGATATAAAAAATGTAATCGGCAAAAATGTTTCGCATTTTTTGAGAGAAAGTGAGAAACAATTGTGAAGCATCATGCTTACGTATTAATTAAGCAGGGGCATATTGGACATTTTGATCTCAAAGCTACTAAATAGTTATACGGATGGTCTGTTTTTTGGCAAATATTGAAGGAGGTCTTATATTTGTCCAACTCCTTTTAATTAGTATTATTCTAGACCTAATCCCCCGTCTCTTAGCGCATCGCAGATCTCGGCCTCCAAACTCCTCCGCAGGGCAGGTTTTTTCTTCGAAGAAGCTCCAGTCACGAAGCCATCTGCGACAAAGCTTAATGGACGGAACACTGGCGCACCTGCCTCCAGCCTGTGTGTCTAGCCTGCCGCCCCAGTCCTTTATCGTCGACGGCCAGCGACGCCGGCACTCGTAGCGGTAGTTCGAGCTTCGCTTTCCATCTCCGACCTTCATCCATCCGACGACGAGCTTCGGTAGTTGAGACAAATCCGGTACTCGATGACGACTCTGGTGGATGGAGCAAACTTGTCCTCCACCTTGAGCCTGAGCAAATCCGCCATTGACCTTGATTTACTCAGATCTGAAATTTCTGGAGGGATTCAAGCTATTTAGGAAGGGACGGAGAAGGGAGACTGGTCAGGAATGGGAAGTGGATGGGAAGGGGGCTGTCGGGAACGGGAGGGGGGCTAAGAAGGGGCTGATCGGGAAGGGGAAGGGGGCTATCGGGGGCTGGGAAGGGTCCTGGAGGGGGTTGGGGGCTATTGGTGGCTGGGGGAGGGTACTGGAGGGGGGATGGAGCTGCTGGTGGGTGGGGGAGAGTGTTGGGGTTGTTGGGGGCTAGGGAGGGGGCTGTGGGTGGTGGTGGTCACCTTCGGGCGGGTGGCGGCAATCTCCGTCGGAAAATGGCGGCGGTCAATGAGGCTTGGATTGGTCATTGTCGATCGTCGGTTGGTCACTCGTCAAATTGACCATGGTAATTGATCGGGTTGGTTACTAGTCGGGTTGGTCACTGGTCGGGTTGGTCACTGGTCGGGTTGGTCACTAGTCGGATTGGTCACGATCGGATTGGTCATGGTCGAGTTGGTCATGATCGGATTGGTCATTGGGCGGAAGTCACTGTCATGATGGCGGTGGGATAACTGTAACTGGACAACGGGTCGGATAAGTGTAACCCGATCACATGTCGGGTAACTATAACTGGACGACGGGTCGGGCAAGTCTAACTAACGAATCGGGTCATTATAACTGTAACGGATTGTGTAACTGTAATTGAAGAGTCGAGTAACTATAACTGACGGATCGAATAATTATAATTGAGCGGGTGAACGTTGGTAACTGAGTCACTAAATGGTTGGACGTAGGTCACTAGATGGGTAAACGGACATGTAATTGTGATTTTAGTCACTGTATCATTTAGTCATTGGACGAAAGTCACTATGTCAATTGGTCACTGGACGAAAGTCATTATGTCAATTGGTCACTGATCGGGCAGAAGTTGGTCACTAGTCGGGCGGATAACTGTAATTGGCAATTGGGTAACTGAAAGTGAGTAACTATAACTGGTCAATCAGATAACTGTAATTGGTCAATCAGATAACTATAACTGAATGAACGAATATATTTAATTGGCCGGGCAGATAATTGTAACTAGCAGTGGATAACTGTAACTGGTTGTGTGGGTAACTGTAACTGGTCATGCGAGTAACTGTAATTTTTTCAACGTATAATTGTAACTGATTATATTTTTTTTTGTTTTTGTAACTGATTATGTTAAATAAATGAAAATCGTCGTCGGAAGAATGTAATTAGGAGGGATATAAAAAATGTAATCGGCAAAAATGTTTCGCATTTTTTGAGAGAAAGTGAGAAACAATTGTGAAGCATCATGCTTACGTATTAATTAAGCAGGGGCATATTGGACATTTTGATCTCAAAGCTACTAAATAGTTATACGGATGGTCTGTTTTTTGGCAAATATTGAAGGAGGTCTTATAATTAGTATTATTCTAGACCTAATCCCTAAAAAATTCCTTTCTACACGTTTTTACACACGTGTCATCTTTTAACAAAGATCAAAAGCAAAAAAGTGAATATGACTTTTTTTAAGAAAAAAGCATTTATTTTAACACATACTGTCAACTTTTACTTCCTCGATTTTCGTATAGAATCTACTTTTTATTTTTTCTATTACACAAAAAACACTTATTTTACCAAACACTCTCAACTTTTACTACTAATCACTTTTTCTCAAAAAGTGCTTTTATTTAAGGAAAGTGGTTGCAAACAAGCCCTTACTCCCTCCGTCCCAGAAAGCAGTTTCCCATTTGACTTTCACACACTTTTATGCAACTAAACTTACCAGGGGTAAATTTTACTGTTTCGACACTATTTCGACACTATTTGGCACTGTTTGACACTGTTTTGCATTGTTTGGCACTGTTTTGATGTAGATAACTTTCCACATAAAGAAATGAGAACTTAAATTAGAGACATCCAAATAAAGAAAGTGAGAACTTCTTTCGAGGACGGATGGGGTATAATATTAGCAATAATTATATACATTTGACTAAAATAAATGTGATTTACAAAAATGCGACCTCTCAAGTGTAGCGACTAAGTAGTAAGTTAGTCACAATAACTTACGTTCAATACTTACACTTAAATGACTATGAAATTATACTATAATACTCCGTAATTATTAATAATACTTTTTTTTAAATAAATTTCATTTAAATAATTTTTTTTTAGAAAACCTCATAATATTATTATCTGTATTTTTACATATACTCTCTCCGTCCCATAAAATAGTTTTCACTTTCATTTTTGCGAAGCTCAATACAATACTCCCTCCGTCCCCTTTTAAATGTCCCGTTTTACCATATTGGGATGTCCCTATTTAATTGCTCCATACCTTATTTGGTAAACTTTGTGTGGCTCAAAATCATTCTTACTTTATTCTTACTTTATCAATTAATATCAACTACACAAACTCACTTTTCTTAAAACCCGTGCCACCATCTCCCGTCCCATTTAAAAGGGGATGGAGGGAGTAGTTCTTATTTTCCTTAAAAGAATTTTTTTGTGATTACTAATTATTTACTTTTTCTTACTCAATCACAACCATACATTTTCATTTTATCCTCATCTTCCTAAACTTCGATCCAAGCTAAAATGAAAACTATCTTATGGAATAGAGACTATTTTTCTAAGGATTTATGGTAATATATTTTGAATGAGGTATATATTTTGATTTCCTAATGATTCAATCCGTACTTCTCTAAAAACAATGATTCACTTCGTACTAACTAAACGACAATTAAATGAGGGAGGGTTTATTCTTAGACACAATACATAGGTTAAAACTCTTCCACAAATTTTTAGATTTTTGCTAATTGCTACGGAGTATTAGGATTTGTTAGGTGTTCAACCTCACGGAGTTCCTATAAACATCAACTTCTGTCTTTGTGAGTGAGAAATAATTGGAAAAAAATGCATTTTGGCATTTGCTAAAAGTGTAGTACGAGTTTAGTAAATTTTAAGAAAAGAGGGATATATCACCCTATACACTTTGTAAGGACCAAAATATAACTCTCTTAAAATTGGAAAAAAAAGTTACTAATCCCTAGAAGCAGTTTTTAAGAAACTGCAGGAGACCAGCTAAATCAGTTAATAACTTGTTCATGTATATACACATAACAAAAATCATTTGCTTAAAAGACCACCAAAATTGAACCACTTAGCGTATTAATTAAATTTAAGTAACAAATACATTTCCTTTAATTTGTTGAAGTAACAAATTGTTACGTACTGCCTCCGAAACAGATATATCTTCGCATTTAAAAGTAGGTGAGATTAAGAATAATGAAAGAAGATATAGGGGGTGTTTGGAACTGATTCTGCTTCAG